TTTAAGCAACTTGTAAAACGCCCTAGTTTTAAGACAACGGTCTGAAGAAAAGCGCCTTGAAGTAGAGTCTCGATCTACACAAGTGAGTATTCAATGGTGTACTTCAGTTTTCGACTACTCTTCTTAGCATTTTAACCCTCAACAGTACACCTTCCCAGACTGATTAATCTGTACACCTGGGGTCCGCGCGGACCCCAGAGCAGATTTTTGCTAATTTTTAAAAATTATCAACATGCTACCAGCTCAATTGTTCTGCAAACTGATGTGGGAACCTCTGTGTCCACATTACAAACAAATATCATACATTTTGAACTTTTTCTATTTTTTGGTGAAGAAAAGAAGACAAGAAGAAATACCCGATTTTTAAACCCATTTCAGACTGAAGGGGCTTTTGAGGCCCAACTTTGATCTCAGATAGCGGCTAAACGGCTTGCGCTAGAAGTATCAAATTTGGAGACCTTTCCTAAAATGTCTCTGGAAAAAAGTTCATATTAGTTTTATACTAGTAAGTTGATGTTTTTTTGTGTTGTCATGGCAACGGGTAGTTTTTTTGAAAATAGAAGTAATTTTGGTTTAAACATGAACATTTTCTGAGTTTTATATAAAATTACACTTCTTTTCCAACATTTATAACATCTTACATAATTAAATATAAGTGAAATCATTTAATATGCATAGAATATGCTAATTTGATGACGTCATTGGTCAAAATCCAATATGGCGGACTATATTATTAGCTCTGACGTCATATGACGTCATAATTACACCAAAGTTATTAAAATTCAATTCTATTACTACACCATTCTCTGAAAACTTGGTAGACATACAATGAATGCATAAAAACATATAAAAACGGAAATAAGGTAATGTATAAGAACGCCAGTGTATCCATTATGATCGAAAGCCGGCTGGGGTCCGCGCGGACCCCAAAAGAAAATCAGATATAATTTTTTTATAGATGGTAGAAACGGAGTTTTCTGCACTGTATCGAGAGACAACTTTGTGGGTGACAATTACCTAAAATTTCAGAAAAAAATCTTTAGAAACAAAAAATATATTACAGAATATATAGTGGTGGGGTCCGCGCGGACCCCAGGTGTACTGTTTAGGGTTAATTTAACAATTGCCAAAAGGTTGAGGTACCCTTCCTATGTCACACATCGTAATATAAAGGATTATAATTTAGGAAGTCTGTTTTGTCAACATTTCGGTGACCAGCTGTCATCTCCTTCAGGGCAATACTGTCTGGCTCTACTTCAAGTGACGCTGCTACAAAGCTTCACAGCACTCAGCAGCTGCTACAAAGCTGCTGCGAAGAATGGGGTCCCAAGTTTTTTTAAACACACTTCACGACAGAAGAAACGCCTTACCCTCTTCACAGTTCATTCCCTCCCACCCATCTACACAGTCACAGCTGTAGGTGTTGATTCTGTCACTACAGGTCCCATTGTTGAGGCAGGGTGGAGGTTCACAATCGTTGACATCTAGCAAAATAAAGAGAAATCTGATTACTGCTAAATCCAACAGATACTGATATACTCCAGCGATGTGTATAATCGTGAAATTCGTTCAAAAGGTGTTTGCAGTTCTGATGTTTAAACCTTTTTCTTAACTGATAATAATCATGCACGGTGGTAAAATCTGGGCCGCAAAATTCCAACATTTCATAGAATCCGAACATTGTTCGATCGTGTTCGATCTGGGCAATTCGAATCGAACCCGCGTTCCATTCCGGGGTCACCTGCGGTCATTTGCAATAAAGCGGCAAAACAAGCCCTTCTGCCTGAGTGCCTCGCAACAGATAAAAAACAGCACTTTTCTATAGATACAAACAGTTTCCAGGACAGTACATGTCCGCTATCATTTTTTTGCGGACATGTAACATGTAGCGAAGCTACTGTCGTATCCTTGGGTGACCTTGAATACTGTAATGATTCTTTACGCCTTTATAAATAACACGGTGCACACTTTTGGGAGATATGACATGTCTGTAAAACTCGTTCAAACCTGGAAGCATGGAGAGTCAAACATACCCCATTTACGGCTCAAAATGACTGCCACGGTTGTCCCGAAAATCGTGCTTTTGGGATTTTTGAAAAATGTTCTTGATTTTGAATTATGGGTAATTAAGTGCGAAAAAAGCAAAAAAAAATCGATGTTTTCACCTTTTTGTCGACCAAAACTATACTTCAAGTCAGAAATTAAAAAATCCCAAAAGCACGATTTTTCATCTTATTCCTGGTCGTCGAAAAATATAAAAATCAGTGACCTTGCGTAATATGTGTAGCCAGGTTTGCTCGGTGATTGGCTAAAATATGGCGCACCGAAATTCCATAGATTATCGACTTTTTTAACGTAATCCGAAAAAATCATCCATTTAGCGCAAAAAATCACCATTAAATGTATGTAAAGACGATG